CACACTTGTGTCTCCGAACCCCCCCCCCCCCCCTCCCCCATGGTATAAAGATAAGGAGGGGGGAGGTTTCTGCTCTAGGACACTTTCTGTAGAGTGACCATGTTGTTCCTTCATAGATACAGAACAATGAGTGAGTATTGTCACCCGAGGACAGGGCTGGGCCAGCTGTGCTTTAACTACAAATGCCATCATGCCTCTGCCTCTTGGAGTCATGCCTGTAACTGTCAGTCTTGCAATGCCTCATGGGACTTGTAGTTTCATAACAACTGGAGGGCTGGAGTTGCGTTACTGGCGGGATCACCAGGGGAAACTAGAGGGAAGAAAGCCGGAAAATGAATGAAAACTCTCATTTAATATGGTTGGCCTGGTGTCAGAGTAGGAGACATGGCGGATCATTTGATGGGTCGGTTCTGATCGGGAAATCTCTACTTCTGCAGCTGAAATTGCCCCAAATCCAGAAGATTATGATGGAGTTTGAGAAGCAGGCAGAGATTATGGACATGAAGGAGGAGATGATGAATGACGCCATCGATGACGCAATGGGGGACGAGGATGACGAGGAAGAAACGTATGTATTCTGTTATCTGCTGTATGTGGAGGGGGGAGGAGCTTCTTTTATGTGTAATACGGCACATTCCAGCTGACCTCCGGCCTTCCCCTTCGGTCTTCCATCTGACCCCCGTCCCTCCCCTTCAGTCTTCTCTCTGACCCTCCGGCCTTCCCCTCCGGCCTTCCCCTCCGGTCTTCTGTCTGACCCTCCGGCCTTCCCCTCCGGTCTTCTGTCTGACCCTCCGGCCTTCCCCTCCGGTCTTCTGTCTGACCCTCCGGCCTTCCCCTCCGGTCTTCTCTCTGACCCTCCGGCCTTCCCCTCCGGTCTTCTCTCTGACCCTCCGGCCTTCCCCTCCGGTCTTCTATCTGACCCCCGTCCCTCCCCCAATACACATTTGAGGTGACTTTATTATGCAGTTGCCGTGACCTCCTATTTTTCCCCCCACAGGGACGCCGTTGTGTCTCAGGTATTGGATGAATTGGGCCTCAATCTTACAGACGAGCTCTCCGGTGAGTACTTCCTGCAGAAGACATTTCTAATTCACACATATAAATACACCTATGGCGCACAGAGCAGACGCATTGCCATGTGTTGCGGCGATGCGAGTTCCCTCAGCACACAAGTGTGAGCAGGCTGTACGCGTTCTTGCGCCGATTGGGTGTTTTGCTGACTTTGCGTTTTGGGTCCAGTATCCGTTCACAGTACATCTCATCCTCTCCTTGCACCATGCAGGCCTACCAAGCACGGGAGGATCCCTCAGCACGGCCACAGGGAAGAAAGCGGAGCCCACGGCCGCCCTGGCCGACGCAGACGCAGACCTGGAAGAGCGACTGAACAATCTGCGAAGGGACTGACGTGTCAATCGATGCATTACACGGACTCTTATCTATATGTATTGTTTTCTGTTATGAGTGAAGGATGGAGGTGAATTGGGGGGAACCCGGCAGGGGTTTAAAAAATGATGATTTGCGCATTAAACGCTGCGGCGTGAAGCCAGGATTTCCCCGCCCGGATAGCGGGTGTCAATCTCCACCCGCAGCTTTTGGCTGGTTCTGATTCTTCTGTAGCTCGAACACTCCCTTTGCGCACAGGTCGTGTAAGTCCGAGAAGACTGTTCTGTCTGTGTCTCGGTGTCCTAATTCTGCTTTCATACTGGGTGACATATGTTATTATATAGAATATAGGATCTGTAAAACCAAAGGCTTAAAGAGCACCAGTATCGCCACAGGGGGGTGGGAGGGCGGGAAGCATTTTGTACATGGTTCTTCCAGTAATGAAGGTTTTAGAGTATTTTGGAGGTGTCCAGTTTAGGGCCCACTCTAGTCCCGAGTGCCTTAATGTTTGTATAGTACTGTGGCAGTATGGGGTGAACAGCGCACCAGCATCATGTGACACCTTCATAGAACAATAGTACATAGAACTGGTACCATTCTTTACAACCATGTTTTGTCATTTTAAAAGATCCAGGAAGAGACCCACTCAATCCTCCCCTCAGCCGGTCCTGTCAGACAGCATGCAGCCTCTGCCTCTACCATGTGTTACTGCTGACACATTTCAAGGACTTCATTAAAGAGAACTATGGGGTAAGTGTTTTTCCCCAAAGTTCTCTTTAGGATCACAGGAGGACATATACTAACCTCCTCCCGTGACCTAAAGCTCACTATATAGCTGCTATTGCCTGCAATATACTGAGAGCGCCGCAGCCGGGACGTATCCCGACAATACTGTCCAGATCCAACCAGCTGCGTGAGTGACAGCTGGCTCTGCCTATCTAGAGGCAGAGCCAGCTGTACCCGCCCCCTCCCCCGTCCGTTCCACCAGTCAGCGCTGGAGGGGAGGGAGGGAATCTCTGCGGGGAACGGTGACTGACAGTCACCGCTCTCTGCAGGGAGATGATTGAGAAGTGAGCGAGGCACGGTATGTGTTCGCTCACTTCCTGATCTATTGAGCCGACGTGTGACAGTTTCTTTGTCAGAGGTCGGCTCAAACTATGAGGAGGAGTGGAAATCACTCACCTCAGAGTTCTCCTTTTACAGCTTGAATGAAGATGGTCTGCCCTGCAGTAATGCATGTTAGGGGCTGCAACAGGATCAGCTACCAGGGTTTTCATCTGTGCACTGAGTATCGAGCGGGTCTCCTCCTGGTCTCTATAGAACAAGATGTGGTTGTGAGTAGCAGTCTTTACTATTTTTTAAATCAAGGTTCTATAAAGGTGTCGCAGAATGCCAGTCTGGAGGAAGCAGCAAAGCCGGGGATCCGGTGTATCAGATAATCAATAGAGAACATTCATCTGGAAAGACTTATTTCAAAGGTTCCATGCTGTAGGATTGTATCCTTTTTCTTTCCACTTGAGCTGTAACTGTTTATAATGTATTAGTACTAGGACAGTGCTGGGAGGTTAGGTTGTAGGATAGCTAGGTTTCACATGCTCGGCTGTTGTTCAGCACCTGAGGATATCACGGTCAAGGTTCCATCCTTCATAGTCACCATGGTAGTATGTATAATGAAAAGGTGGTATGGCTTATTGGTAAAGGTGGTATGGCTTATTGGTAAAGGGGGTATGACTTATTGGTAATGGTGGTATGACTTATTGGTAATGGTGGTATGACTTATTGGTAATGGTGGCATGACTTATTGGTAATGGTGGTATGACTTATTGGTAATGGTGGTATGACTTATTGGTAAAGGTGGTATGACTTATTGGTAAAGGTGGTATGATGGCATGACTTATTGGTAAAGGTGGTATGATGGCATGACTTATTGGTAAAGGTGTTTGCATGAAAGTCAGGATTAACCCCTTTAAAATGCGCTGAAACCTCCATTACTCAGTAAAACACAAGTCCCTAGCTTCCCTAGCCGCCTCTATGATAATGGCTGCACATTTTAGGGCCGGGCTCTAGAACTCGGTGCTCTAAAGTTGTGCAATTGCAGAGGGCATCTAGAGGGAAGTGATTCCTCATAGCTGTCCTGCCTTCGTGTCATGTCTAGTATTACAGGGCAAATCCAGCAAGCGGGTATCAGGAGGAGGCGAATGTCGTGTAAGCTGCAGTCACCTCTGTGCCGTTGACCTGAACAATTTCTGGCCTCTTAGCACCTTTCTTGATCTGGTTGTTGGGCAGTTCTATGCAGACTGCTAAAATGTGACCCTAGAGGGGGGAAGGAATGGACCTGCAGGCTAGTGGCTCCCAATGGTTCCTCAGACTTGGACTTGAGCAGAGGATTTGTATATCCGGGCCACAGAGGTGAATGTAGCTTACACACTGGAGCAGGGGTCAGCAACCTTTATTCACATTGCGACAATTTACATGCTTTAGACCTTTGGTTCTCAACTGGTGGGTCGTGACCCAAAAGTGGGTCGCAGCCCCGTGTTCAGTGGGTCGCCGCATGCCTTCCACTTTAGTAGGCGAGAGGCTCCTCAGCCAACCTCTAGCGCAGCACTGTCAGTTCTCGTGCCAAGCGGCCATCCAAAATATGCTGCCCGGCGCAGAGTTTCAGCCTGAGGTGGGATGGGGCTATGGCCGCGAGGGAGCTCCATCCATATGTGCATTGCTTACAGCTCCCTCACGTGTTCTATAGAGTGACTTCATTTGTATGGTACCCCAAACTCATCTCCCACCCACAGTTCGTATGCCCGCACCAAAACATGCAGTACCCTAATGTTGTGCGTTCCATTGGGTCGCAACTTAATGACCGAGGACAAATGTGGGTCCCGAGGTTACACTGGTTGAGAACCACTGCTTTAGACAACCTGTGTGCCAATGAACAATAGGAGTTGTGTAGTTTGCAGATCAAATCTGCCCCATTTCCTGCAGCATAAGACAAGCAGGGATCTGATATGTATACCTATAAGCAGCTTCCAGTTCTGGAAGGAGGAAGACGGTGGGCAAGCGAGCTCCTTTACATACAGCACACCAACATCTGATGCTGACGCCGGGTCTACGCTGGCACTGGGTGGTGGGCCGGCACCTGAACTTCAGGTAGGTGGCTGGCCCGCAGACACAGAAGGGGCAGCCAGTCCTTGTAAATTATTGCCTAGGGAGCTCCTAATTGCAGCCTTTGGCAGTGGTGCTTCTGAATGCCACTAAAAGACATTGGGGGGAAATTTAACAAAATTGGAGCAGACAAAATCTGGAGAAGATTTGCACTGCAGCCAATCGGCTTTTCTCTCTCATTTTCAATTCTTACCTGACCAACCTGAAGAGAGATGCTGATTGGTTGCCATGGGTAACTGCTCCAGATTCTGTTTGTCCCAGTTTTGATGAATTCCCCTCATTGCATATCCACCTGAGCATGCATGCCGTAGGTTGCTGACCCCTGCAGTAGTCTCATCTGATTTTGGGTATCTCTCAGTGACTCGGTTACATGCTGTGTGATCTCGGTTTTGGGTCTGATTTCTCTTTATGGTGGCTTATCTCTCTATGTCCTTTGTAGTCCCCTCCTGTACAGATGTGTCTTTGTATAATATGTTTTACTCTAATAAAAAAAATAGTGTATTGGTAATACATGATTATCGTAAGATGTGTAGTTCCTTTTCCTTTCAGGGTCACAGATGGCACTAGAAAGCTGAACGTGGTTTTAACAGTTTCCAGCTTTAAAAAAGTTTTGGACAGACTTTAAAGAGACGCTGTCCCTTTCCCAGTCTGGGCAAAGTGACAGGGTCTGTGTAAAGGCGCCCCCCCCGAGTCACTCATAGTTGTCATTCATAAGTGGAGCTGTGATGTCACGTGACGGTTCTTGGGCCTAGCATACGTTTGGGACACCATATGCTCCCCCATACTTGGTTGCACCAGGCATTTTTGCTGGATGAATGGGCAACGTGACAGCCTCTCTATAATGGGATTTGTACATGTCTGTAAGTTTATACAATCTCTTCTTGACAGTTAAAAGACAAAAGTGCCATTTCTACATATTTTACATGTTCATAGTATCACCATTCCTCTGTATAGTCAAGGGTGGTCAGCTTGTTCCGGGCAGTTGATGGATGAGTGCAGAGCTGACGTCTCCTTAGAGCTTGTGCAGCTACTATGGGGCAAAGAAGCATCATCGATGTTATAAAGTGACTTTACCATAATACTTGTTTATTGATAACCAGATCAAAAGTAACTTTTATAGTGTCCTGCATCCAGAGGGGGTATTGTGGAAAGATCTGAATGGCAGCAGCCAAGCATCTTTGTCCAAGGCCGACACCAATTTGAGGTCGTGGTTTACTTTGTACGATCTTTGTGTAGCACAGTGCAGCCCTAAATGTCTCATTCCATCACATGTCCCCACAAAATGAGCAATATTCCTCATTTCAGGAAAGTGGATAGGGTCATACAAATCATTGTTTTATGCCCCATTTGGCCAGATGCACGTTAGAGCTGCTAGTGTATCGGTGCAGTGTATGGCAGCCATGGGTTCTATGGAGGAGGGCTTGGAACCAACAAGACAGTATAACTGTAGGGGTTATGGTGAGAAGGGGCTACATGAATCATGGGTTCTATGGAGTAGGACTTGGGACCCAACAAGTCAGTACAACCTTACAGGTTATGGTGAGAAAGGGCTAAAGGAATCATGACTTCTATGGAGTACGGCTTGGTGCCCAACAAGATGGTATAACCATACAGGTTATGGTGAGAAGGGCCTAAAGGTATCATGGCTTCTATGGAGGAGGACTTGGGACCCAACAAGACAGTATAACCATACACATTATGGTGAAAAGGGGCTAAAGGAATCATGGCTTCTATGGAGGAGGACTTGGGACCCAACAAGACAGTATAACCATACACATTATGGTGAAAAGGGGCTAAAGGAATCATGGCTTCTATGGAGGAGGACTTGGGACCCAACAAGACAGTATAACCATACAGGTTATGGTGAGAAGGGCCTAAAGGAATCATGGCTTCTATGGAGGAGGACTTGGGACCCAACAAGACAGTATAACCATACAGGTTATGGTGAGAAGGGCCTAAAGGAGTCATGGCTTCTATGGAGGAGGACTTGGGACCCAACAAGACAGTATAACCATACAGGTTATGGTGAGAAGGGCCTAAAGGAATCATGGCTTCTATGGAGGAGGACTTGGGACCCAACAAGACAGTATAACCATACAGGTTATGGTGAGAAGGGCCTAAAGGAATCATGGCTTCCATGGAGGAGGACTTGGGACACAACAAGACAATACAACCATACAGGTTATGAGAAAGGACTAAAGGAATCAAAATGCCCCCTGATGATAGAATAATCTTATTTTCGGGATATGTGATGGAATGACATCACTTCTCACCATAACCTGTATGGTTATACTGTCTCATTTGTACAATTTCTGAAACCCGTTGCTGTTCAGATTGGGATACCATTGAGATCCAAGAGCAGTCCTCTTCAATTGGCGATTCCATATGTGTTTTCATATAAAAAGGAACAAATCCTGTTTTTTTGCTCATCCTCTCCAATGCGCCTGTTTCTTCCATTGCTCACTAATCCACCTCAATCCCTGAAGTCTCCATTGGTCAGGTCACACCTCACCACAAGGCCCGGCAGTCTGGTTGGAGCACATTGTTCAGTCATCCTATGACGAATGAGGTCATTTGTGTTGGTGAAGCAGAAAGGGGCGGGGCTTTGTGGTTATCGTGTTTAATCACGTGTCTTTGAACTTCCACACGTAGCCTGCCAGCTGAGGTTGTATGTGTGAATGGAACATTTTATGGATTAGGCCACATGAGTAACTAATGCCTCTGCAGGCCTGAAAAAAAAACTCACGAAGGCTCACAAATTTCCGTAAGTTTGCCCCAGATACTTTTTAGTGTAACAAAAATTCATATCTGGACCAAACCCTACGGCTTGGCGCTTCCATCCTTCCACTTCATACAAGGCGAATACTGGATTTGAATGAAGGGTATGTACCTGTATGAATAGGTGGGTTTGTTTTATAATGTGGAGGGGTGGTGAGTGTCTGATGGCTTGCAGAATGGAGTTCCAGAAAGAAGGGCAATACAAAGGAAATGAAAGGGGGGTTAGTGGTGACAAGGGAGGAAGAATGCTGTGAGTGAAGTAGAGGTTTGAGGGGAATTCCTGGAGGATGAGACGAGATACGAGGTGCCAGACCGTTTGCAGTAGGGGTCCCTAAACTTCCTAAAAATAAAAGGACCAGTTTATAATGCTTCATGCTTTGGGGCAGACCAGTGGGGGTAGAAAATGCCCCAGCATCAGTGCATCAGTGAGAATAAATAAACAATGCCGATTATTGTTGGTGTCAGTGCCCCATCATTGGTGCCATTTGTCAGTGGAAAGAATAGCGCCCCATCATTGGTGTCAGTGGGAGGAACAGTATCCCATCGTTGGTATCATTAGGAGGAATAGTATCCCATCATTAGTGTCAGTGGGAGGAATAGTGCCCCATCATTGGTGTCAGTGGGAGGAATAGTGCCCCATCATTGGTGTCAGTGGGAGGAATAGTGCCCCATCGTTGGTGTCAGTGGGAGGAATAGTGCCCCATCATTAGTGTCAGTGGGAGGAATAGTGCCCCATCATTGGTGTCAGTGGGAGGAATAGTGCCCCATCGTTGGTGTCAGTGGGAGGAACAGTATCCCATCGTTGGTGTCAGTGGAGGAATAGTGCCCCATCATTAGTGTCAGTGGGAGGAATAGTGCCCCATCGTTGGTGTCAGTGGGAGGAACAGTATCCCATCGTTGGTATTAGGAGGAATAGTGCCCCATCATTAGTGTCAGTGGGAGGAATAGTGCCCCATCGTTGGTGTCAGTGGGAGGAATAGTGCCCCATCATTGGTGTCAGTGGGGGGAATAGTGCCCCATCCTTCGTGTCAGTGGAGGAATAGTGCCCCATAATTAATGTCAGTGGGAGGAATAGTGCCCCATCATTGGTGTCAGTGGGAAGAATAGTGCCCCATCATTGGTGTCAGTGGGAGGAATAGTGCCCCATCCTTGGTGTCAGTGGGGAGAATAGTGCCCCATCCTTCGTGTCAGTGGAGGAATAGTGCCCCATAATTAATGTCAGTGGGAGGAATAGTGCCCCATCATTGGTGTCAGTGGGAAGAATAGTGCCCCATCATTGGTGTCAGTGGGAGGAATAGTGCCCCATCCTTGGTGTCAGTGGGGGGAATAGTGCCCCATCCTTCGTGTCAGTGGAGGAATAGTGCCCCATAATTAATGTCAGTGGGAGGAATAGTGCCCCATCATTGGTGTCAGTGGGAGGAATAGTGCCCCATCATTGGTGTCAGTGGGAGGAATAGTGCCCCATCATTGGTGTCAGTGGGAGGAATAGTGCCCCATCCTTGGTGTCAGTGGGGGGAATAGTGCCCCATCCTTCGTGTCAGTGGAGGAATAGTGCCCCATAATTAATGTCAGTGGGAGGAATAGTGCCCCATCATTGGTGTCATTTGGAGGAATAGTGCCCCATCATTAGTGTCATTTGGAGGAATAGTGCCCCATCATTAGTGTCATTTGGAGGAATAGTGCCCCATCATTAGTGTCAGTGGGAGGAATAGTGTCCCATCTAATGTTTAGAGTATCAGAACTACATTCTGTGCATCTTTCCTCCAGAATTTGGTAAAATTGTCACTCTTGTACACAATCGGCTAAACAACGTACATCCTTCAGGCAAAACATATTTTTATTTACTGATTTCCAAATACAAGTTTAAGATCTTTTTGTCTGTGACAGAATTCAGGAGCCGTTCAGGACACTGTCAGGAACTGTGCCTGACTTTCATCAACACATAGATATGACACTTCCTGGAACGTACAGACAACACGGAGTCACAGAAGAGGAGGGGAACGTACGGATCTCTGGTCTTCATACTAGTGCGTTGTCTAAATCCTGCAAATTCTACGCCAGATTTTGTATAGGAAATAGATCAAAATTTAAGACTATGTTGATTTGTTCGTCTCCCTCCAAGAGGCCTGAGTTCCTGCGAGCGTATACAAGATAGAATAGGACAGGTGCTCTTCATGTGAAACACCTGTGTAGATTGGAGCGCCCCCATCTGGTCATCACAGGGTAATGGTTGGATTTAGAGCGGACAGCACGATGGGGGATATGGAAGATTCAGAACACACAGACCTTGTCACTAATACGGTACCTGTGGGAGATATTAAAGGTAGATATCAGCATCTTTCATGGTTAGTTATCAGATTATGTCCACTTTATGTATATTTGTACACCTATATTGTAACAAATGTATCCATCTTAATACACTGAGTGGCCAGATTATTATGACCACCCCATCAGTACTTCGTTGGGCCGCCTCGTGACTCCACGAGATGATGAAAGGTGATGCGAGGAATCTGAAACGGCACTGTTGCCCTTCTGTTGTCTTGTACCAGTCTTGCCCCTCCCCCGTTCTGCCCCAACATTGACTAGTCGCTGACGGCCACAATTTGCACGTTCAGACCCAGATTTTCGGCTGACAGTCCGGTCTTTAAACACTTTAACAACAGCTGCTCTTGAACATTTAACGAATTCTGCTGTTTTGCTGATACTCGCTCCATGGCTGCGAGCGCCAACAATCATCCCGCGTTCAAAGGCTGTTACATCGCATTGTTTCCCCGTATCTTCAGAAACAAATCACTTCTACTGTCGTGGTAACCAACCCGCTTCCCTATTTATAATGGTCTGGCCCTCTAGCAACTTCAGCGCCAAATTATAGCTAATTTGCCTACAAACGTCAGGTGGTCATAATAATCTGGCCACTCAGTGTATGTCAGAGGTATATAGATGACTATAATAACTATATACATGTATTATTAACTATAATAGCGTGTGACTGGGGAGAGGACATTAGAGTGTAAGCTCCTCTGGTGCAGAGACTGATGTGACTGGCTCAATGTTCTCTGCACAGCACTGCGGTATATGTCAGAGCTATATAAATAATATAACAATAGTGTGACTGGGTTGGGATATTAGAGTGTAAGCTCCTCTGACCAGGGGCTATTGTCGGTGACTCTATTCGCTGTGGTAAAATGGCGCACTTACCTTGGCCTACATCAGATCTGCTGTCCGATGGCTTTCATACATTCTTTATAGGCTTGGATGAGCTCCTGGCAGTTATCTTCCCCTTTCTCTGCTGCGCTGCATGGAAAACAAAACACAACATGCAAATAGCTGCGACAAGATCCGCACCTCACTGACACCGCGTGATTTAAAGAGTCACCTCCATTGGCAACTCACCTTGCCAATGGAGGTGTACCGCACATGAATAGTACAAACGGCACATCGACAACAATTGTTTGTGCAATTCAATGCACTAGGTATGACCGAGTCCTCACCAATAGTTCTGAGCACTAATAGATCCGAAAGTATTCGGGGTTCATTCTAACTTACGCGTTTGGTTGTAGTACGCAGTATACGTGAATTTCATTAGGGCAGCCCATTCGTTATGAATGCACCACAATGGAGGAAAAAACATGCATGACCCTTTTTCTGGCAGCATGCAGTATGTGTGTTGTGACACGCTGCATTGCATTGTACATTGCATTGAGGTTCATTCACAATGAATGTGGCACCACAACACATGCACATAGAGCAAGTGCATCGCCACACGTTACAGGAAAGCACAGGTATAAATGAGCCCTAGAAATAAAAATCACATCACTACTCTAAGGCAGACTGAGGCTAAGCTGGTGCCCGGATGTCGGAGCTTCCATTACATAGCAATACACACTTAATAAATTCTGTGTATATTCACTATATCCTGTGCGAAAGTTTGTGCACTTTGCGAGAATAGATTCTGCACATCAAGTGTGACCTGATCCTCAATGGTGCACCCATATACAGATTCTCCATACAATCCTCAGAGAGTCCAGCAGAGGGCGACAGCAAAGGCAGCACTGCAGCTGAATGGATGGCATTAGGTCTCTGAGATGGGCTCTTGTAGTGAAATGTTCACACTGTTAAGGTGCCCATACACCTGCCGTTTATCGTACGATAGTTGTGGGTGATCCCGCGATCGTCCGATAATCGGAAGGTGCATGGGCAGCGTGCGACCTCTTCCACTGTAAGGGCGCACGACATTCGTCTTCCGAACATTCGTCTTTCGGCAGGTTAGTGGGGTGCTCGGAAGACGAATGCTGCACGGGCCGGTGTGCGCAAGCTCACACTGCCCACAAGCGCACACTGCCTGCTCAGCATTGGAATCATCGGAAGCCCGCCCCTCAGCTGGGCGGGCTTCCGATGATCGCAAGTACGATCTGCCTGTCCTAAGGTCCCCACACACCTTACGATAATCGTACGATAATCGTGGGAAATCCCGCGATCGTACGATGATCGTAAGGTGTGTGGAAGCCGTGCGACCTCTACTACTGTAAGGTCGCACGACTTTGAACTTACGGACATATTCGAAAACCCGCTGAGCATCGTACGATGTTCGGCGGGTTTGTGGCATGTCCGTACGATAACAGCCGTACGGGCCGGTGTGCGCAAGCGCACACTGCCCGTTCGGCATTTCGGTCATCGGAAGCCCGCCCCTCAGGGGGCGTGGCTTGCGATCATCGCAAGTACGATCTGCCTATGTAAGATAGGCAGATCGTACGTTTTTTTAAGTACCTTACAACCATCGCAAGACAAAAGTCTTGCGATGGTTGTAAGGTGTGTGCCCAGCCCAAGATGGGCAGATCGTACGAAGTTTTAATTACCTTACAACCATCGCACAACGAAAGTCGCGCGATGGTTGTAAGGTGTATGGGGAGCTTTACAGCTGCTGAACCTGGAAAATCCACAAGATATGATTGTTCCAGATAACAATATCTTGGATAAAATAATTTTACCTTCAGAGATCAATAACACTGATTGAGTGATCTGACTGATAATGATCAATAATGGAGCAGTCAGTCCTAAATGGAAATGCAATGTAGTTCAGACAAATTGATCTTTTTCTGTGTTGTGCTGAGCAATCGATCTTGGGCTAAAGATGGTTTACAACGATCAGATCCGTGACCAGTCACCCTGCAGCAGTGACTGATCTTTATTACAGGAGGGGGCGGAGACAAGACCAGTCACCCTGCACATGGAAAGAGAGCAACGGTGACCGGTCTTTATTACAGGAGGAGTTGGAGATAAGACCTGTCACCCCGCACAAGGAGAGAGAGAGAGCAGCAGTGAGCGGACTTTATTACAGGAGGGGGCGGAGACAAGACCAGTCACCCTTCACAAGGAGAGAGTGCAGCAGTGACCGGTCTTTATTACAGGAGGGGGTGGAGACCAGACCAGTCACCCTGCACAAGGAGAGAGTGCAGCAGTGACCGGTCTTTATTACAGGAGGGGGCGGAGACAAGAACAGTCACCCTGCACAAGGAGAGAGAGCAGCAGAGACCGGTCTTTATTACAGGAAGCTCCAAGTCTCTGCAGAGATCTGGAAGAAATACACGAAGCTCGCCAAGATTCAAGAAGAATGCACATGGATCTCGTACAAGAACAATATCTGATCATCCCGGAGTTCAGCCTTAAAACAAAACAAAAACTTGCACTGGAACTTGTACTGATTGCATTAAAAAACTATACTAGGGATGCACTGATATATCGGCCCCCGAAACATATTGGCCGAAAATGGCACTTGTGGCTAAATGCAGAAAGTGCATTTTTCCTGCTGAGACATCGGCGCATCCATGATTTCCGGCAGAGCAGTGTGGGGGCGGAGACAGCGCTGTCACAGGAGGCTGGGCTCTCCTCTCAACACTGCTCACTCAGCCTCCTGTGACAGCGTGTCGGAGAGGAGAGGGGGTACAAGCAGTCAGTGATCGCTGAGTGTTTGTAAATAATTGGGGACAGAGTATGTTTGCTATATCCTCAGTTATGAATAAATGGGAAGTGATCTGCATCACATCTACATCACTTCCTGTTCATTCATGATTGTAGTTATAGTAACATACTCTGTCCTCATGTTATGAATGGACAGGAACACTCAGTATAGAGGATTCCTACTCATTGATAACAGGGGATAGAGAAAAAGAGATTAAGGACTCTGTGTTCTCAATCTCTTTCTCTATTTTAAGAGGGAAATATAAGGGGTCTGTTTAGACCCCTAATATTTCCCCCAAGCCCCTAAAAGTAAATAAAAAATAAAAATATTTATTTCGGTTTCGTTTCGGTTTTTAAATTTCTATTTCGGTGCACCTCTAATATATATACACATTGTACGTACTTCATGTATTCTCTCACTCTGTTACACAAGACGGTAATGTCGGCGTCTCAGTGCTGGAACACCAGAGAGGATTCTGGGACATCACTGCAGCACATTCCGAAGTTCATTGCCCGCAGGCCAAGCTGTCCCCCTCATTTCCTGCTCCGCTCACACACACACAGCACAGAGGTCAGCAGGCAGGTGCCAGGAACATGCCAGGCAAACAAGTGCTGCAAATTGAGGGAGGTTTAAAGAACAAAATACATTTCTTTAAACCTAAATGGCCACATAACTAACTTCATTAACACTATAAAATATTAAACTCTTCCATTAAAAATATACTTTAAAGGAGAACTATGGGG